CCAGAATGGGAGTGCAGTGGCCGCTCCCGGCCACCGCAGCCTCGACCTGCTGGGGCTTCTGCGATCCTTCCACCTCAGCCTTCCAAGTAGCTAGAATTACAGGCATGCGCTACCATGCCCAGCTGATTTTTTTTTTTTATTTATTGTAGAGATGAGGTCTCGCTGCCCAGGCGGGTCTCAAACTCGTAGGCTCAGGCAATCCACTCACCTCAGCCTTCCAAAGGCGCGGGATTACAGGCTGAGCCACCAAGCCTGGCGATAATATGCTTTATTAAAACTTTATAAACTAGTTCTTCAAAAATGCTTCTGAGTAAACAAACATATTCAAGTTCATTCCTGAAATACCATCAAAAGAGAAAGTCTTTTTCTAACCTAAATTTCTATTCAAAGAACACTCCTTGAAGGCAAAGACTGAGCCTTATCCAACTCTCCTCAGAAACACCAGGTAGTGCAGTGGCCGTCAGCGTGCCACTGGGCTCCAGTCTGGGCAACAGAGTGAGACCCAAATTCAAAAAAAAAGAAACATTAGGTAGTATACTTGGACCCACAGAAGATACTCATAAATGCTTAGTTAACAGAATGTAAAGAAAATAACAATTATTTCTTTTAAAAGTAAGATCTGATTAATAAAAAAATACTAGAAAGAAAGCTGGCCAGTTTTTTCTTGTGGCATTCCATTTTCAAAATTTGATCCCTGAAGACTAAAAAAACAATTGAAGTAATGCAATATACTCAGAAACATCACATCTGCCTTTTAGGAAGTGTACCAATATGAAGGGGAGATGGTTTTACATAAGAGATTAGGACATCGATGTCATAATTTCAGAACCACTTTCAAAGAAAAACCATTTATGGATATAAAAATAAAATGAATGACAAGCATATGTGAACTACTTAAATGCATATAAATAAAAGCCCAGTATAACTTGCTTATACAGTTTTATCTTTTGACACAATCTCATTATTAAAAATATCCCCAACCCCTGCTTAAAATAACTAAAGAAAAAAACCCCATCAAATCTTTCTCTCCTTCAATGTAGAACGGGTACAATTTTAACTTCGTTTGTAGTTTCTTTCATACTCACATGGCAAATCAAATAGAGACAATTTGCTTGGTGCAGTTTTCTAAACCTTCCCTGTATTTCATTTTAGTTGAGACAAAATAAAGCCAAACATCCTAATAGTTTTAAACACACAGGTTGCCATTTTTTTCCATGGCCATTCCCTCATTTAGCTCAATGGGGAAGAAGGTTAAAAAAAAAAAAGGTAAGCCTAGCTTTTCTAGATTAAGTCAGTGCAAAATCTAAAACTGTAAATTAAATAAAATAATGCAAGACTGTCTCTTTTTAGTTATTTTCACAGCAACATAAAAACTATGCTAAATATGCATTTAGGCGAGTTAGCAGAAAATCTGGCAATAATTCTTTTTCTCAATTTAATTCAATTTCATTGTTCTAGTAACAAGTTTTATAGACATATTGCTCTGAGTTGAAAGGCTTGGTAGCAAGACCATTATTTTTGATCTGGTCTGTCTAGAAAGAAGCAGGGTTTGTGTTCTGTCTTGACACACACATATGCACAGGCCATCTGACTCAATATTTTCTAGTAAGCTTAGCATAGGGTATCAAAAGGGCCACCCCCTGCAGTGTTTGAGTCTCTGTAACTGGGACTAATGGCTTACTTACACAGTGACACTTTTACATCTCGTTTGTCATTGGAGACACGGTAAGCTCCATAGCCAGCCAAAAATCCAACGCAAAGACCAGCAACCAAAGATGGAACACCACCTGGAAAAAAAAATGTCTAGACTCAAAAAAATAACCTCAAAGTAAAACAATTCATTCCAATACTTATAGTATGATGCAGGCACTTTCAGATGTGATCCTACTTGGGCACGTAGGTGGACAAAGCCAAGTTAAGTATAGGCCTTTCCTTGGATGATTTCTAAGAAATGACTATTTCATGCTGAACCCTAAATGCAAGGCAGAGGAACACCAAATGCATAGCAATGCAGGGATTTGGTATTGCTTGGAGAATAGGAAATCTGCCTTGTGCTCGTGGTTTCAACATTGGTTGCATGATCTGGGGGAATCAGTTGACTTCTTTATGCCCTTTTTTCTTTTTTTCTAGTCTCCTTGCCTCTGTCTTTTTATTGTAAGGTAGTGATGATGGAAAATAACATGCTCATAGAGGTAAAGAAAAAAGTGCTGTGCAAACCAAGTAATGGTTCTTTCCTGATTAACAAAACTTCAAGCCTCAAGATATCAAGACATGAGGACTAATGGAGACTAAACTGAGAAAAGGGAAGAATCAGGGCACTGACCCAGCCAGCCAGTCTCCTATCCAACCCCTCCACCCACCCCACCGGTGCACTCCCAGCCCCCACCCCATCCACCCACCCCAAGGCACTGTGAAAAACACTGAGCACTTCCTGTGCACTGGACAGCAGGCTACATGCTAGTGACACTATGAACAAGACACAAAATCCTTGCTTCGTGGAACTTGCCCTATTTAGAATCTATTGGATCAGAATCCCTGGGGGCAGGGTCAAGGTATCTCTATTTTAAAAACATCCATAGGAAGCTCAGCCAGGTTAAGAACCACTGCAGCACATGCATGCACATACACACACACACACACACACACACACACACACACACACACACACACACACACCCCAGCATCCTGAATGACAAAACAAACACACTAAGTTCTAGTCCTAATTCTTTCACTTGCTGGCTGAAAGACTTTGGCAGAGTCACTTAGCTTCTCTGAATTTTATCAGTTGCAAAACAGGGTTGATATCATCCATCATATATATAAAGGCTTAGGATGTTACAGTTGGAGATACTATTAAATTCCTCATATTTTCTCTCAAAATCTATGATTCAAACACAGCAAAATCTTCTTTTAAAAACAATCATCTGGACAGGCCACTCCTCTAATTAAAAACCTTCAGCACTTCTCAATGCACTTAGGGAAAAACCCAGTTCACTATACTGTGGGAGCCCTGGCCTTCTTTCAGTTCCCTGAACAGGCCAAACTATTCTTCCAAGCTTCCAGACATGCTGTTCCTTACGTGACTGCTCTTCCCTGCACTGTTCACTCAGCCAAGTGCAGCTCGTCGTCGATGTCTGCTTAAGTGCTAGTTCCTCAGAGATGCCTTCTCAGACCCACCACTTCAAGTGAGGGCCCCTCTCACGGTCTTCCACGATTCACAATCACATAATTTACAAGCTGTTCATTGATTTAATGTCAGTCTCCTCCACTCACTCGTGAGCTCCCGTCTTTTTGCTCACTGCTGTTTTCCAGGGTGAGACACAGGTCAGGGGCACAGGGAGCACCTGATAAAAACCAATGAACTCATGCCTGGACACTTCCTTTCATGGGTCATGGTCAAGCAGAAGATGTCAGATAAGGGCGGTCAGTCAAGCAGATTAAAGCACTTTCTGAAATGCGTGACTAAGTCACCATTAGGGTGCCTTCCTACCTAGCAGTTTTATGGTCTTCTCTGCTTACCCTGAAGATTTTGGTACTGCTATGATCCTCCCTGGGTCCCCATCATACACACACCACAAACTGAAGTATCTGGAGGGAGTGGCAGTGCCTGCACTTGAATCTTGACAAGATCAGACAGCACTCAGCAAGGACAGGGCAGGGGCACCAGCAGCCCTTGTGTATGAGAACCAGGTGAGGAAGGGGGCAGGGCTGCAGCATGGCTGGTGGGAAGGAGTAAAAACCTGAAGAAAACACTCAGTGCACAGAGTGGGGACACCAGAAAAGAAGCTCCAAGCTCTTCCCTCCCCCTCTCTGGGATGGTTGATGGGTGAGGCACAGTCTCAGTAGGGCAGTTTTCTAAGGAGTACCTAGGAACCTCTCTTCAGGTACTCTCGTGGCCCTGAGTAGCCTCTCTGGAGAGGCTGCAGGGCCCTTCCCTCCAGCAGGAGTGAGAAGGTATGAGGTCAGGTTCAGCTCTGGTGTGGGAGGAGGTAGGGTGAGCCTTCTGACCCCCTTTGACTTTTGGTGCTCGGCGCCCCCTGGCCTCAGAACAGCCTCCATATCACAGAGTCTTCCTGGTTATTCACATTTCTGGGGTCCTCTCTGGGAGGGACATGAGCCCACACAGGCTTGATGCTCAGCACTGTGTCTTGTCACAGCCTCTCTCCCAACCTAAGAAGAAAACCTGTCAGCCCCTCACTCTGTCCCAAACTTATATCTGGCAGCTGGTCTTGTGTAGGAGGTAGAAATGTCTGTGTCCTGCCACCAAACACCACTTTGACATCCTATCTTTCACCCACCCAAGATTATTCTCAATAACTCCCTCTTGGAAGGGTCTCCTGGCCCAGGGGCATGGGACTCATACCTGGGGGAGCCCTGTGTTCACAGAGAAGGTGTTGATTCACTTTACACAAATGTTCTAAGACACCTGGGCTACAAGCAGCTTAGAATATAACACAAAACCAGAGAGCAAGACTAGAAAAAGGTATTTTGCTTCACGGGCCCATAGACCTCCCCATTGGTGGGGTAGTAGCAGCAGAAACAAGAATGTTAAACCTTTATTGTGTGCTAGGCACTATGTGAAATACATTACCTTATTTAATCCTAACAGCTTAATTTCCAGGTGAGAAATTGAGGCCCAGAAGTTAAAACAATTCATCTGAGTTAGTGAGTGGTAGTATCAAGATTAAAACTCAGGAATGCTTGACTCTATGGTCTGTGCCTATAATTCACATTTCACTGCAAGTGTGAGCTTTCCTGTGAATACACAATTACCCTCAGGGACTTCCAGGATCACTTAGTGGGGCATTCTTTCAGGAGGCCAAGGAGCCATATCTTACAGCTAGGTAGCAAGCCCTGAAATCAGAGGCCTTTCAGCTCATGCAGTTTCATTTGTTCCCACCAGCTGAAAAACCTGAAGATATCTGGGTTAGGGTAATAAAGCGATCCCTTCACCCGAACACACACGTGCATACACACAAACACACACACATACACAAAATTCCCTTCTTCCCACCTCTCAGATAAACAGGCAAAGAATAAAAATGTCCAGGTGTTCTTTCCTATTCTGTAACAGAAGTTATTTAGACACATCATTGACAATGAGAAAACATTTTTTTCAATGACAATCCTATCAGGATTTTAAACTGAGTTGTCTTTAAAGTAGATGGTGAGACATCAGTCTTTGAGCAGTTGGTTTACAGGTCTTAAATTTGGTGCCATCATTTTTTTCCCTTCAAATACACATTCATGATACATATATATCCAAGGTAAATTACAGGTTTTGAGGAGTGTTAGAAGATGGTCTGATCTGACCGCCACCCCTCAGAGCCTAGAGAGAAAGTGTTTCTAGCCTTTGACTTCTTAGCAATCTCTAAAGAAGAAAGCTGACTGGTAACCATGGAGACTCGGCTTTTTCACTGAAATTCAGGTCCACCAATGTCACAAATACAACAGCCTTTGAAATAAAACTTCATTTTTAAAATTTCATTAAAATATAAGGAACAGAAATATGAGACATCATGACTATAAATAATTCTACCATAAAACAGAATAAAATATAAAATCTTAACTTTTCCTTGTTCTTCATGAAGCCCTTTTAATTGATCAAGTGGGTTTCCCCCCCTCTTTTGGACAGAGATGAAGAGTCAACTTTAAATATGATATCTAAGTATTTAACAAATTTTCCTTTGCCGCACACACTATCAATATAACTTAGTTTTTTGGTATCACAATTGTATAAACAAAAAAATTATCATTTAATAATAAGCAGTGGTTCTGAGGGAGGTTAAATTAATTACATAGCTTATAATGACAGAAGACATAAGAGAGTTTCATGGTGCAGAGGCCCAGAGCCCCTGGCCTGAAATGCTCTGTCATGCCCAGCCCCTGTAAGTCCCTCCCTCCACGAGTCCCTTCCACAACACACTGGCTCTCAGTCACCTCTAAGACATCTTTAGCATTTGTCCTCCTTACCCTCAGAGGATTCTGGCACAACCTCCCACCCCCAACAAGGCCCTCTGATGAAAATTTGGTTGAAGCTCACCTCTCCGCTTATATCCAAAAATGCTTCCAAATGTCACCAGGGCCGCGTAACCAAACCCAATCAGGTCCATTGGCAAAGTTGCGATTCTAAAGCAAAGGGGAAGGGACACATCATACAACATAAAGTTTTGGTGTACAGGTGTGTATTAAAAGTGTATGCACCCCACAGAATCATAGAAACCAACTTCTCCAGTCTACCAAAGAAAGGGAGGTTCAAACTTCACCTCTCCCAGGGTAGTAAGACAGCAGGCCAAGATTCCAGACTCCAGGTAGTCCCACCCCTGCCTTCTATGCAATACCTGCCTGGTAACTGGGGCAACTACGTGAAAAAAGTGAATATGCAAAGGAAACCGATATACTCCAGTGTTTTCAGTTCTGGAGTAATCACCTGCTTGGACACATGGCTTCAAGTTGTGACCACAGGGCACTGCCTTCCATCTGGCAACTTCCCAGGTTCAGCCCTATGGGTATTTGATGTTCAGTCCCACTTATAGTCCTTCTCAAGGAGCTAACCATAATCCACAATGTACACTTGTCTTCAGACCAAACCAGATACCACTACTTACTGGCTGTGTAAAATCAGGCACATTCTTTAACCTCTCTGTAACTCAGTTTTTCCGTCTCTAAAATAGGGATAATAAAAATATCTACCTCAAAGGTTGTTGCAAGAGTTAAACGAGTTAATACTGTGAAATACTTACAACAGTGCTTAGCACATCTTGAGCACTCAACAAATATTAGCTGCACTAATAATAGTGATTATTCTTCTCATTCACACTTACACCTATGTTTAAGCTTGATTCATGCAAGACCATGACTATTTCAACACACTGAGAAGACAAGTGAGGTGGGGTGGATTTATGATTCAGGCAGTCAATGAAACATACCACGATACGACAATGTATATTTACACTCAATTCCATTTAACGACTATTTGTTGAGTATCTTTGTGCAAGGCAGTCGGGAGCAATGGAAAGCCCCAGACACGGCCTCAGTCCTGCAGGACTTGCAGCACAGCACACAGAAGAAGGCAGATGCATGAACCAGTCCTACAAGAGGCAGGAGCACTGTAACAAGGAGTGGCTCTCAGCAAGACTTGGAGACCTAAGAAAGGAAGCTAAGAGGAAGCAAGGTGCCAGTGGGGCCTGGACTGCATGAAGAAGCCAAGTGAAGAGGATGGCAAGGAAGAGTGTTCCTGGCAGAAGGGAGAACATGTCCAAGGGCCTGGGGGCATGAGAAAGCCTGTCATGATCTCCACATGAAAAGGTAGCCGGGCAACAGTGGCTCGCACTTGTAATCCCAGCACTATGGGAGGCTGAGGCGGGAGGATTGCTTGAGCCCAGGAATTCAAGACCAGCCTGGGTAACATAGTTGGACAGAAAAAAATTAAAGAAAAAAAAAAAAAAAAAAAAAGCTAGGCATGCTGATGCGCGCCCATAATCCCAGCTACTCAAGAGGCTAAAGAGGGAGCATCACCCAAGTCAGAGCTCAAAGCTGTGATGAGCCATGATCATGCTATTCCAGCCTGGGTGACAGAGTGAGACTCTGACTCAAACAACAACAAAAAAAAAAAAGAAAGAAAAAGAAAAAAAAAAGAAGGTCAAGGGCAAGAGAGAGGCTGCTGAGACAGACAGGGCCATACACCCATGCAAGCCCTCTAATGGCAGCCTGGCTTCTGTCCCGAGGGTGGTGAGGAATCAGTGAAGTGAGCCTCACAATTAGATTCAAATTTCAGCAAGTGTGTGCTGGCTGCAGTGGTGGAAGGTGGGTTGAGGTGAATCAGAGATGACTCACCCCTAAGCCTCTGAGTTGGACCAGCAGGAGAGGTGGGGAAGGCTGATGCTATTGCCCACTGGAGCAGCAGCAGGTGTGCAGTAGGGGGAAGTGGGAGGGGGCCAGGATGGATGGGACCCGTTTGGAACGGATTCGGTCTGAGATGCCTGACACACAGTCAGGAGAATAGCCTCACACGCGGATCTGAAGCTTGTGAAACAGAACATTCGCCATCACATAGCAGTTTGGAGACCTAATCCTGAAGCCAAGTAGCTGGTGCGAAAGGCTGATTCCTCTGCATTCTGAGCCCCTCAGCTCCTAGTGTGGCCTTCTTTTAGGGGCCCATCCTCTTGTACTTGGTATAGTTACTCAGGTTGGGATTCTCTCTCCTCTAAGCCAAACTGTCTGAGGACAAGCACTTTCATCTTTGTCCTCCTCACAGCATCGTCCTCCTCACAGCATCGAAAACTCTGTCCCGCACAAGGTGGGTGCTTTGAAAATGTTCTTTGAGGTCAGGCATGGTGGCTTATGCCTGTAATCCCAGCACTTTGTAAATCCGAGGCGGGAGGACTGCTTGAGCCCAGCAGTTGAAGACCACCTTAGGCGAGATCTTGTTTCTACAAAAACATTTTAAAAATTGGCCAGGCATGGTGGCACACACCTGTAGTCCCTGCTACTCAGGAGGCTGAGGTGGAAGGATCACCTGAGCCCAGGGGTCCAAGGCTGGCTGCAGCGAGCTGTGATCGTGCCACTGCACTCCTGCCTAGGCGACAGAGTGAGACCCCCAACTCAAAAGAAAAGAAAATATTGGTTAAACGAATGAATGAGTAAACTAAAGGAATGGTTTCTGCCTTAAGACACTCTGTAACCAACTTACCCAAGAGAGCTCTACTGCCAGGAAATAAGTAGCCCCTTAATCTCCTTAGTGAACTGTTGCTCTAACAAGGCAAAATCTATTCCCAATCCTTACAAGAAGTTTCTGTTCTCACAGAGAAAATTCAGACAGAAAGCAATCACCCCTCTGCCTCCTATTCCTTGGCAGGCCATCTGGCCAGGCCAGAAGCACACATTAAAACCAGAGGCTGTGTTAACACAGAAGGATGGAGTGGGGACATGTCACATGCTCCTGACGCAAGTGCGGTGCCTTGGAAAGGCCAGAAAGCATTTTGGATGCAATGCAGAAAAGTGATATACTGCACCACGTATAAAACCAGGTGACTGTCCTACCTCATTGCCAGCTCCAAGTCCTTCAACATTTGGGGAACTCACTAAGATTTCCCGTTGATATAAAAACGATGACATGAAAACCATTTCCACATGCTAAAAATAGGACAATTACCTACACTTGCTCTTTAGGGGCACAGTAGGCATAATTTCGAGCTGAGTCTAGGTTGCGCTGAGAAGGTTAAAATTCTGCCAAGCATTTCTGCTGTGGTCCATGAGCCCACCCCACTGCCTCTTACCACCACCCCGGCTCCAGGAAGCTAGGAGGCAGGTTAGATGTGAGATTTAGGCCGCGAGAAGGCAGAAATTCGGGAAATTTCCAGGAGGAGGAAGACGACTTCTGGGAGAGCAGACCCTACTAAATACCCCTGCAAGTCCCCTCAAGATTCTCGTACTACCGTTTGATGTAGCTATTTGGGGGGATGGGGCAGAAGGGTGCCCACTCAGCAAAGCCCCTTTTATTTCTGCGCCTTTGCAAGAAAAAGCAGGGCAGGAAGTTCGCGATTGCGGGATGCACAGCTCACCTGCAGGCGCTCGCCTTCACTGCAGCTGCAAAGCAGTAAGTCGGGGGCAGCTACATGAACCGGCGGTACCTGGAGTCCGGAAGCGCTTAGCTGCTCTACGCCCCGCCTCCAGCGCCCAGCCGGCCGCCCCTCCCCGGCCACGCCTCCCCACTGCGCGCATGCGCCGCGTTCGGTCCGGCCCCTGCTGGGCTCTACCCCGCTGATGCCAGCCCCATGGAGGGAGGAGGCTGACTGGTCACTGCCTTCGGCCCAGTCCTGGGGCCCGGAGCTGGGAGTTGCTGCCTCCTGCGGCTGGAACTCGCAGAGATTTTTAACAGTGAACCTCATTCAGCATTTGAGGGACACTTAGGGGATCTCTATGGCAACCCAGGCCTTTTGCCTACCCTCCAGCAGACTGTCCCCATTTTCAGTAGAGGGAGCTAAGGTTCAGAGAGGTGAAGTGGTGTACTGGTCCAAGGTCAGAATCCAAGTCTGTCGGGCTTCAAAGCCGCAGCACTGTCATCTAGATGTGGCTGGGAGATCAGGATCCCTGGTCTTATACTTCAGGCTTGGATATCTAAGGGGAAAGGTATACGATTCCAGAGTTGTAAAGCACTTTAAATCTTGTCTAGTCCAGGGCAGGCTGTTCCCAGGAACGAACCTTAAATGGACTTTAAATTATGCTTCCCTGCAACAAGTCTCATCTCATTCTTTTGCCTTCGGGGCTGAATACAGTAACTCCAGCCCTCTTCCTTACAGAAGAGCCCCTGGGAGATCTGAAGAGGGCTGTCACCTAGAAGTCAAGCTGCTATACAAGTTCTGTGATGCTGGGAATAATAGAATTCCTTGGAATAGAAAAGAAAACCCAAGCATGAAATTAAATCCTATGAAGTCTGTTTGCTAAATCTATTCCTTGCGCAGAAAAGTGCTTCAGGGAAGTGTATCCAATTTATGAGAAGTCTAAGTTGGTCCAAGGAAGTTAATAAAATTCCTGAAGATTCACAGAAGAGTTGATGGCAAGACACTGGAATGCGGAGAGGCATCCTGAAGTTTGGTTCTGTTTTCCCAGCTCTCCTTTCCATCCCCTTCTATGCCCATCTTTACCCCAGCCTCCTCCCTATTTCCCCTCAGACTCCCAGAAAACGTTCCCTCTATGGAAGGAAACTAAAACCCTCTTGGAATGCCTCAGTATCTTCAACTGATGAGAATGAGGTAAGGAACCTCCCCAGACCTCAGTGCCTGAATTGAAGATGTGGCTCAAACTTGATGCTGAGGTCCCTTCCACAGTGCCACTGAAGTGCTTAAAGCTGGAAACAGTCTCCTAATATTCCTATTCAAGGCAGATCACCTAAGCCTGAAAGAACAACTCTTTGTATGTTATGGGAATTCCACACCCTTGGACGTGTAGGAACAGGATGGTTCTTAGGTAAATGGGTCACACCCTGTCAACTCATAGGCCACCAGCTGATGCCTACTCCAGCTGATCAACAGGCTGCAGCCCAAGGTGAGGGTGCAGAAAAGCCTATTCGCCTCTCCCTATATGTAAAGCTTTCTATTCATCATCCACGGCAGATACTCTTAACTTTCAATGTGACATCAACCCTTTTGATAGTCTGGAAAAATGCACAAAAGAAGATACACAGGACTACAAAGGCAGCCTATTTTATTGAAATGCAGTTATCAAATTAGTAAACAAATCTGTGCTAGGATAGATGTGCTTCTTTATTGCTATATGCTGTTTGACATATAACATCGAACAGCTCAGGTGCAGTCAGGCCATCCTTTTCCAGGCTTCTTCTTATCTCTTCAAAGATCATCAAACTGTTTTGGGGAAACAGCATATACCTTTCTGTTTTACTGTAATCCCTTTCTCCATTCTTATCCTCAAAATATTTCCAAGTTAAAGAAGGACATTCTTCTTGTTCCATATTTTGAAAATACGATTGTATGACAGGCCAACATTTTGGCATCTTTTCTACGGCCGGCAGCATTGACAGCCATCTTGAAGACACGTCTAAAGAAGTTACCACCATCCATATCTATGAAGTAAAAAATCTCATTAAGTGCTGCGGTACATTTTGAGGAAATTGAAAAGTGACCCAAAATTTTCCAGATGAAAGTTTCAATATCACATGTAAGCAGATCACATCCCCTTTTAGTAGCGGTGTATCTAAGAAGTTCAGGATATTGAACAGGTAAGATCTCTTCTCTTTTTTTGGTAAGAAGTTTAGGGACTGAATGGAATTTGCCAAAATTTACATTTGCACTGTCTGATGAATATGCAGATACATGAGCTAAGTCTAATTTGTATTTAGATAAAATACCAACAATATTTTATTCTATGATTTCAGCAGTTTCATTAAAATCCTCATACAAATCGAGAAGACTTGAAACTCCATTTGTCAAGTTAAAGTATTTAACAGCTAGAGGGAACATTTTTTGTTGCCATGGTTTAAAGTTGATCTACTATAGAACGCACGCTTGTTGGCAAGATATGACAGAATCGGATCTACACTGTAAGGAGCCAACACATCTGTTATCAAAAATTTCCCTTTTGTTCACCTTCAAGGTACTTCAGTTGCAGCCCCCAAATCAGGAAATGTAACTTTCCCCGGTTTCACAGAGCAGTCACGGGAACGAGGACAATGCATTCCTGTTAGTGTGGTATGCACAAGCAAATTCAGCTTGATTTTGCACCAGTGATTGAACATCGGTGTCTTTTTGGGAAATGAAAATATTTTTATTGGCTTGGAAGCATTTTCCTGTCTCACCCCGGACTTGTGAGATTCACTCTCTAGATGTCCTTTCACATTCCCTGCTTCACCATGCCCAATCCCAAATTCTTTCCTGTATATTGTGAAGCCTGCTCTGTTTTGGTTACTTACCTCCCTGATTCAGTTGTACACATCCTTCCATCTGTCACTAAAATATCAGTCTTTTTGTCATCTTTTTTGGTGATGGGGGCATGGTTGTGTGGGTATTATCAACATTATCATTTTCATGATCTGACCTCTTAGAAAACATGGCCATGATATACACAGTATTAAAAAATTAAATTAGCCCTATCTTTTTTTTTTTGAGTTGGAGTCTCACTCTGTCGCCCAGACTGGAATGCAGTGGCCGCTCCCGGCCACCGCAGCCTCGACCTGCTGGGCTCCGGCGATCCTTCCACCTCAGCCTTCCAAGTAGCTGGAATTACAGGCATGCGCTACCACGCCCGGTTGATTTTTTAATTTATTGTAGAGATGAGGTCTTGCTGCCCAGGCGGGTTGAACCCGCAGGCTCAGGCAATCCACTCACCTCAGCCTCCCAAAGTCCCGGGATTACAGGCTGAGCCACCGAGCCCGACTAGCCCTATCTTGATACAAAGCACAATAGTTAATCCACAGGCAAAGTCAAGAAAGACTGTTAACATTCATGATTAAGCATCACACTCTGAGTGATGCAATAATGGATGGATAACCATGAATTGCAAATTATGGGTGCCAGCATCAGTGGTCAGGTGAAAATGGGCAACAGAAAGTACAGAAGGGCCGGGCTCGGTGGCTCAGCCTGTAATACCGTGCCTTTGGGAGGCTGAGGTGAGTGGATTGCCTGAGCCCGCGGGTTCGAGACCCACCTGGGCAACTTGGTGAGACCTCATCTCTACAATAAATAGAAAACGAGCCAGGCGTGGTAGCGCATGCCTGTAGTTCCAGCTACTTGGAAGGCTGAGGCGGAAGGATTGCCGGAGCCCCAGCAGGTCGAGGCTGCGGTGGCCAGGAGCGGCCACTGCACTCCAGTCTGGGTGACAGAGAGAGACTCCACCTCAAAAAAAAAAAAAAGAAAAAGAAAAAAAAGAGAAAGTACAGAAGGTGGATAATCTGTGCCCCATCCAATTGACCCTACAGACTGTGTTCCATTCAGCCCCTCCAGAACTGATGAGTTTTATACTTTTCCTCCTACCTTCCACACTTGTGCCAAAAACCAAGGCCTTTCACATTCTAGGAAGGGTTTCCCAGGACACAATACTCTCAGTGCTAAAACTGGGATGGTCACCTCATCTCTACAATAAATCAAAAAATCAGCTGGGCGTGGTAGTACATGCTTGTAATTCCGGCTACTTGGAAGGCTGAGGTGGAAGGATCGCTGGAGCCCAGCAAGTCGAGGCTTCGGTGGTCGGGAGCGGCCACTGCACTCCAGTCTGGGCGACAGAGTGAGACTCCAACTCAAAAAAAATAAAAAATAAAAAAATAAAATAAAAATAAAACTGGGATGATCGGTGACCCTATGGGGTCCCCATTAACCCAAAGGCCAGCTCTCGGGAGGCAGGAGGGGAGGCTCATGGGGCTGGAGACACTTTACCTTGCTTTCACTGGTGATGCTGAACTTCTCCAGTTGGTGCCCAACAGGGTCCTCTTCTTTACAGGTGATGAACGCAGAACCTTGTCTTTTGTTAGACTTTGGATCCACTGAAAGTTCAACGGTCTCAATCTGGAAACACAGGCAAAGCTCAGGGCCAGTGCCTTCCCCTGGCTCAGGTCCCCAAGGAAACTCACAGGAGGGAAGACATACCATCCACCCCCATCCCCCTCCCACCCCCGCCAAAAGGAAGAAAGAGAGAAAAAAGCCCACAGAGAACTCCAGCCAGCCACGGAAGGAAGGAGAATGGTGGCCACTGGTGGCAGGTGGGACATAAACCACAGCCTGGTTAGTCACCTCTCAAGCTCACCAGAATACTCCCTTATCCTCAGTGGCTTTAGGGTTTAGACCCCTCACAAAGATTTTCTTCAAAGGATCCTTCTCATGGCTGTGGCTTTTGGGGGGCTCATGCTGTGGCCACCCAGCCTGTGCTCCCTCTGGGCTAGGGCCTGTTCCAACAGAAGGGTAGGTGGATCAGCCATCCAGGTTTGCCAAGGCCTAAGAGGTTTGGGGACTTTCAGGACTAAAAGCACACAAAGGGACTTCCCAGGATAAGTGACTTGTAACACAAAGCTGGGACCATGGGGTTTCCTAGGTATAGGATGTTCAGTGCTAAAACCTGGGCAATTCCTTCTGCGAAGGTGGTTAGGTGGACGCTGGTTCTAATTCTCATTGGCATTTCTTAGTAGCATTACCCAGGGACCGTTCCTTCTTCCTGAGCCCCCAGATTCCACCACACCTACACAAAATATTTCATCCTCTCCAAACACACCACATTCTGCCCAGCCTGACTTCCCAATTTTCTTCAAAGTTGAAATCCACTGGATTTATCAAAATACACAGAAATCAGTGCTCAGTCCTCAGAGCCTGTGTCCATTCCTGAGTGAATTAGTTTGAATGCTGCCCTCTCTAAGTATCATGTTGAAATGTGGTCCCCCAGTGTGGAGATGGAGCCTGTTTGTGTCATGGGGGTGGATCTCTCATGAATGACTTGGTGCCCCCCATGGTAATGAGCGAATTCTTGCTCTATTAATTCACAGGAAAGCTGGCTGTTTAACAAAGCCAGGTACCTCCTCTTTCTCTCTTGCTTCCACTCTTGCCATGCAACATACCTGATCCTTTTTTAATCTTTCACCATAATTGTGAGCTTCATGAAGCTTCACCAGAAGCAGATGCTGGCTCTGTGCTTCCTGTTGAGTCTGCAAACCATAAACCAAAATGAACCTTGCTTCTTATAGGCTACCTAGCCTCGGGTATTCCTTTAGTGGACTAATACATTGATCTTTCTTCTGGTGCTGGCGGTCCCAATCAAAGACCTGTTTCCTCCAGAAGTAAAGCCACAGGGATTAAGAGCACAGGTTGGCGCTGGGCTGCTGGGCCAGAATCCTTGCTGTTCCATGCCCTACTCACTGTGTGATCTCTTCTAGCTACTTAATCTCTGAGCCTTAATTTCTCTCTCTGTAAAATGGTAATGAAATGCCTATCTCATGGCATCTTGAATGTTCTTCTCATCCTCATATGTGAAGCGTTTGGCGCAGTGCCTCAAACAGGCCCTAAATGTCCACTATCCTCTTCCTGGACTACTCCAGCCTATGTACCTCTCACTCCCCACTTCATCAGCACGTGAACAAGTCCCTAAACTATGCCTCCCCCAGTGCATAGGCCACATGCAGCTCAGACAAAGCTTCATGAACCAGGAATGCTATTCTCTTAGAAATCAAATCCCATCCACAGGAACCTTAATTGAGTGCAGACCTTACCTTCTCCACACCGGCTGCATCTTTAAACACCTCTTGGTCTTCTAGTGTTGAGATTCATTCTGAGGGGTGGTCAACGACCTCTCCAAATTTAGTAAAAGAGTCTTCTAGGTCCTTTCTGCCGTATCCCAGTTCAGGTCACCAACAAACGATTTTCACAAATGGTAGGGTGAGACACAAGGCGACAGGAAGCCTCACAACTGAAGTCATGAGCTTAGAAAGCCTTCCAAGAAAGCCAGGAGTTTAGGAAAGGCTGGATCTCCCAAAGCTTTCACTGGAAGGATGACAAAGCCACTATCCACAGCAAAGGTTCTGCACCCACCCACACTGAGGCCAAGGGACGCTCCCAAGTCCAGTGTATCCCTTAACTGAGATCTCAACCCTGCCTTGACCCTAACGGAACTTTAGGCCACAGCGCCCCCAGGCGGTGAATGCGAAGAAAGGCAGTCGGCCCAGGGCCTAAGTCCCAGACACTCACCACAGCCGGAAGCTGGTTTGTCTAGAAACCCTCTTATCAAAGGGCTACCGTCCATCCCAGCATTCCCCTGTGCCTAGCTGCTCTCCAGCTCGGTTTTCCTGGGGGCAGAGACTGTGGTCATACCGTGACTCCATGCCCAGTTGGGGATGGGGGGGAGGTGGAAAGGGGAGATAAGGAAGAAGGGGAGGAGTGGGGAAGGGGAGGAAGGGAATGATGAGGGGAAGGAGGGGAGGATGGAGGGAAGAGCAGAAGAGGGAAGCAGGAAGGAGGAGGAAGGGGAGGAGGGAGAAAGGGCGAGAAGGGCCGGAGGAGGGAGGGGAGAAAAGAGGGGATGGTGGTGGAAGAGAGGAGGGTGGCGGAGGAGCGGATGGGGGGAGGGGAGGATGGAAGGAAGGAGGGGAAGAGGGAGGGAGAGAGGAGAGGATGAGGGCATGAAAGAGAAGATGGCGGGAGGCAGGAAGAAAAGGAAGCAGGGAGGACGGAGGGAGGAAACAAGAAGGGAGGCCCCGGCCTGACCCCGCCTCCGGGGAGGGCTTGAGCCGGTTCTTTCGGCGCCCGGCGTCTCCAGGGGGTCCCTCGCTCTCACCCGCGGGCCCGGCCGTCTCTCTCAGTGCAGTCCACGCAGCGGAGCTCCTTCGCCCCACCCACCCCGCCGGCACACCCCTCTCGCTCAGTGTCAGAGTCGGCGGCCGGACTTTATAGGGCTCGAGTTGAGGGGGGCGGGAGGGGGGGGGCGGGCCCACTTCACTCGAAGCGCATGCTCATTGGCTAATTTCCCTGAGACTCCGCGGCGCACCGGCGTCCCATTGGTCGTGACGGCGCGCGCTCTGTGGGGTTTGTGTAAGGGTCTCACGGCGTGGGGGATTGCGCGTCCCGGGCAGGGGTTGCGCGTCCTCGCCTGCGGCCTAGAGCCCGGTGTGTATCCTCCGACCACCGAGGGAAGGAGGGAGGATGGAGGAAGGGAGGAAAGGAGAAAGTGAAAGAAAGCCCAAGAATAAGACAAAAAGTCAGATCCCCAAAGCCAACAGCCAAAAGGAAATTCAAATAAAGCAAATATAAGTGAAAAAATATAATTAAGCAAAAATTAATTTCTGCAACATCAAGGAGAACAGTCAAAGGTCAAAAAGTGAGCTCAACGAAAAATAAAACTTAAATATGATTGCAAGTTTAGTACATTTATACCGATTTCCATTTAAAAAAGTAAAAAACGCCACAAGCTTTTCTCATTCCTGCCTTTCCTTTGAAGAGGCAGCAGGGGGCGCTAGATGCCAGCGTTTCATTCAGGTAGGCGTTTCATCGGGATATTTACAGACACCAAATAGTTGTGATCTTGGGAAGACGCGATGGTTACAAAACTTAACCGGAAACGGGAAAACGTAATGTTGGTGTCTACGTAGAAGAATGTATTTTCTAAAGTGTGCGATTTCTGCGCTACACCTTGTTGGCTAAGGAGTACATTTTCCTGAAATGTAGTGGCAGGGAATAAAATGCCAATTACAGGATATTTATAATGGGGTATTTTGAAGTGGGCTCTGAAAGAGTCAGGGGCAGTGGAGAGTGATCTCCGGGCCACTGGGCTGACTCCCTGTCCTAGGCTTGCCATCTGGACCCATTCTGAACTTTTGCCAAGGACATAGGAATTTCCATCCTAAAACCAGGGTTTCCCAGGACAGGGGACTTTCCTGTAAGCGATAATGACTACAACAACAACCAACAAACATTTAATGAGTACCTATTGTGTACTAGGAACTGTCCCAAGCGTTTTGCAAATTTCAACTGTCTTAATCTTCACAATAGCTCTTGAGGTAGATACTACTACGCTCTCCGTTTTACAGAGGAGGAAACTGAGGCAATTTGCCAAAGGTCATGCAAACAGCTAAGAAGTTTCACATCCAGGTTTAAAAAAAAAAAAAGTGTGTGCTGGTCCTGTAGTCATTCTGCCTGGGGTTAAGCCATGGCTCCATCACATAATTAATACAGGAAAACACATAACATTGTGACTGGCACATAGAAAATACTCGGCAGTGTTTACCATTATTATAAGAGTGGCATCTGCTCTCCAGAAGCTTAAAATCTAGTCAAAGTAGTTGTTAAGATTCATAAAGCAGTAGAGGTGCTTATTGAATTGTGAATAGGACAGATGGTAGGTGCAGATAAGCAGCCTGGGCATGGTGATTCACGCCTGTAATCCCAGCACTTTCAGAGGCTAAGGTGGGAGGATTGCTTGAAGGTAGGAGTTCGAGACCAGCCTAGACAACATAGCGAGATCATGGCTCTAAAAAATAAGAAGAAGAAGAATTAAATTAGCTGGGCATGGTGGCGTAAACTTGTAGTCCCAGCTATTTGGGAGGCTGACGTGGAAGGATCATCTGAACCCAGGAGGCTGAGCTGTGGTGAGCCACAATTGTGCCACTGCACTCCAGCCGAGGCAACAGAGGGAGACCCCAAATCAAAAAAAAAAAAAAAGATGCAGGTAAGCATTCAGAGGAGGGATCAGTTGTAAAATGGAATTGCCCCATTACATTCGAGGTGTTTGATTATCATATGCATGTGCATGTTTAACTAAAATGTGATTTTTTTTAGATGGGGTCTTGCTCTGTCACCCAGCCCGGAATGTAGTGGTGCGATCACAGCTTGCTATTTTAATATGATCAGTGTTGTCACTAAAATTTTGCTAAGGAATGGTGTCATCTCTACTTTTTTAGCTGGAGAAGACACTTATTAATTTGTCAGTTTCTGGAGGAAGCATTTATTCATTTCACAGATATGTATCTATTAGATGTCAAGCCCTAGATAGGACTTAGAAATAAACTGGGTGCCAAGTCAGAGACCAACTCTGGAGTGAGGGGAATGGGAAGGGAGAGTATTTTAATTGAAACCTGAAGTCTGAGAGGGAGCCAGCTTGCAGGAAACCACGGGACCACAACATGGACGGCAGGAAGGTCCCAAACCAAGCACTAGGTGGGGAAAGTGCTCTGAGCTTTGTAGAAACCAAGCAAGGGTGCTTGACGCTGAAGTTCTGTGAGTGAATTAGTTCAGCAAGCTGGGTTCCCAGAGAGCAGAGGCTGAGTAGGTTTCCTGCCTCCGAGGCTTCTATTGAAAGCATCTGGGCTGTGCAGTCTCCAGATGTTGCTGGGTGGAAACTTTACATCATGGGATGAGAGGTCATCTCTGTGTGTAACTGTTTCTCACCGGCTGTTCTTAACTGAATTTAATGCAACATAACTGCATGTGTTTAACCAGAAGAGCCTCTGTCTTCAGTTACATCAGACTTCACTCTTCGGTTTTGCTTAATAGTAAAAGAATTATGTTCTTCTCTGTGGTAAATGGATTTGCACGCATTCACTAGCATACATGGACAACACAACTTCGGCTTTCCCAAAAGACATTTAAAAAAAAATAAAAACAGGCTGGGCATGGTGGCTCACACCTTGGGAGGCTGAAGCAAGAGGAATGCTTAGCCCAGGGGTTTGAGAACAGCCTGGGCAACATAGTGAGACCTTGTCTCTACAAAAAGTAAAAAAATAACTAGCCAGGCGTAGTGGTGCACATCTGTAGTCCCAGCTACTTGGGAGGCTGAGGTGGAAGGACCACCTGAACCCAGGAGGTCAAGGTTGTGGTGAGCCATGATCGTGCCACTGTACTCCAGCCCTGGGCAACAGAGTGAGACCCCAACTCGAAACAAATGAAGGAAAAATTAATGATAGTACAACCTTTCCTGTTCTGTGAGTCTCCATGGAGCTGCTGCTGTACTTGTGATTCTTGGTGTATAAAAATCAAACAGAAAATTGACTTGGAGAAAAAGAAGACTTGATGTGTAGGGTTAATCTGTGTGTCTTCTTTGGGTCTCTCTGAGCAAATAACTAATAGTGCAATAAAAATGGTATCCTTGAGGAAAAACAGATTATCTTATCTGATAAAGCCGCCTCTTCTCATTACATCAATGTTACCCCGATAATGCCTTTTAAGCGATGTTTTTAATTTACAAGAAGAAGTCCCAAGAGAAGGCTTAGGCTGAAAAACAGAGCATGATAATACTTGAAAACATTCAATGCAGGAACCTTCTAAAAATCCTCTCAGCAATGCAGTGGGGTGTGCTCACAGTGGAGGTCAAATTGGATACAAGTTTTACTAGAGGAGAGATTCAGTCCCTTTTTCTCCCTCCCTTCTTTTTATAGTTTTGTCTAAGAGGCTGCTTGTTACAACAAGGTTAAGTGAGATCTAAGAAACTTCTTGGAAAGGAGGGGAAGGAATATTAAAGCCGTCTCAAATGCCAGCCAGGTGTGGTGGGGTGTTACTTTTAAGACAGAGCAACACACTTGTAATTCCTTACACAGGTTCTGGAACACCTAGCAGCTTTTGTCTAACCTTCCAGGCTAAACTTAAGATGACAATGTCCCCCCATTCACAGGGGATATATACCAAGACCCCCAGTAGATGCCTGAAACTTCCATGGTATCAAGCCCTGTTACAGTCTACTATGTTCTTTTGCTCTGACAACTGAAAGGGCTACAAGTGACTAACCGAAGCAATACACACAGCATGGACACGCTGGACAGAGGGATGGTTCACATCACCAGTGGGCTAGAGTAGGATCGTGTGAGATTCCATCACACTGCTCAGAATGGCACGCAACTCAAAACATGAATTGTTTATTTCTAGAATCTTGTCAGTTAATATTTTTGGACCACAGTTGACTGAAACCCCAGAAAGTGAAACTGTGAATTAGAGGGGAGCTACTGTATTAGGATGAAGATGGAGAGGAAGAAATTGCTTTATTTATGTATTTATTTTTTGAGTCAAGGTCTCACTTTGTCACCCAGGCTGGAGTGCAGTGGCAGGATCATGGCTCACCGCAGCCTCAACCTCTGGGCTCACGTGATACTCCCTCCCACCTCAGCCTTCCCCTTCCCCAAGTAGCTGAGGCTACATCCCACAGCCACACCCAGCTAATTTTTAAAATTTTTTGTAGAGACAAGGTCTCACTATGTTGCTCAGGCTGGTCTCAAACTCCTGGGCTCAAGCGATCCTCCAGCATCAGCCTCCCAAAGTATAGGAGCCACTGTGCCAG